CGCGATCGATCGTCCCAAAAGGTTTAATTGAGCATTCGACAAGTAACAATGCAGGCAATGCGAATTGCGGCGATCAGACGTATCGACTCTCCGAATTGCGAAGCTTGTGCGCGCGGGAGTGCGAATTGTGCAAAAGGCCACCCTAAGGCTCAGGAAGGTCCTATAGGGAATCCCTTTTGGGTTTCCTCATGTTGGTTTCGTCTTTCTAAGTGCTAGAAGTTGATACCACACACGCGAAACTCCAGAAAGGGACGGAAGCGGGTCGAACTAAAACGAGGCGGGTCCCACTTCTAAGGTTCTAAGATAGTCGCAGGAAGATCCCTAAGGCTAGATCCTAACTCCTACGAGGAATACTAGACCTCACGAAAAATTGAGGTCAACAGGTATGTATGTAAATGCCCCTTTAAATGAAACCTCTTACCTTCATGTACTTTATTCTATCCAGTAACAGGCACGACTCACTTTCTTACCATAGTCCCAAGTAAATTAAAATTCTGGATTTTAGTTCATAATTTCTTTTTCTAAAGGTACTTATGATTATAGAATATATTTTTATTATAATTTAATTGTATTTTCCTTTTGCAGAATGAGACATTTGAGCAAGTTATTAAAGAATGCAAAGAGCATAACTTACAGCTTCAGACATTGATTAGGTGAGTCCTTTAAACTAGACGAGTTAGGATTAAACTTGTGTTTTTGTGTTCCATCTAAAATATCTATGGGATAATTACATGCACAACACTTAAAATATTTTTATATACAAACTATCATCCAGGTGATTTTTTGAACTACCAAACTGATGCATTTACATGTCATGGTCAAACCATTGAGAATTTCATAAAAATGAAAAATATGGATCGGTAGTTTATGGTGAATTTTGATATTTGAATGAGAATTTGAATAATGGATGAAAAAGGGTGCTAGATTTGTAAATAATAGTGTTTCGAGTGCAATGCCACGTAAAAATCTCGTGTTGAAGTTCTCGAAAATATTTACGGCTATTTCATCAATCTCCATGCTATAATTCACATTTGGGTTTTCTGCTTTTGAACAGGAAAAACGAAGAAGCAAATTTAGATATACAAACAACTAGAAATGAGGATCACTTTGGAGCTGTTATACATCACCTTTCTCTAACACGCAATAAACGCTGTCTCATGGCTTACATGTAAGCTTCTTGGTACAAGCCTTTCTTTCGCTAAACTTGACCTTCAAGGGTGCTTCGAGCTGGGGGTGTAAATGAAAGGAGTCGAGCTCTAGCTTAATTCTACGAGTTCAGGCCGGTTTATCTATTATGAAAGAGGAAAAATAATATCAATTCAAACTAGTGTTATAGAAAAATGACAATTATAATGAGTAATTAGAAGATAATATAAGAAATAAATTGATATATAATTTGAATAGTTTTTTTTTTTAATTTTTTTAATAGTTTAATTTATTATATTTTGAGTATATTTTATATCAATATTTGTTTAAATGAGCCAGCTCACGAGATAACGAGTGAATTCGGGTTTGGCTCAAGCTCGGCGTGTTAGCTCGTCGGGCTCGCCATGTTAGCTCATTGAGCCCAGCTCACGAGCCACTTATTGAGCCAAGCCTTGGCTGGACTCAGTTACACCCTACTCCGAACCATGTTTTTACCCATTAGACTGAGCTCGAGACCTGCAATTAAATAGGTATAATCGAGCCGAACTAATTCAGAGCTTGAGATGGAAGATTGGCCCCGTGCTTCCTCAAGAAATACAAGAAAAACTTAATTATTCAGAAGAAGGGTATTTCAAAAACCATTCTGCAGCCATAGAGTCATACATGTCAGAGCTGGATCTAGATTTGACTGTGGTAATTCTCTATTAGTGGTCTTGAATCATTCCCTTGTGAACATATATACTTTTTTTATGAGTATAGTGTCAAAATACTCCCCAAATTTTAAGAGTTCGCTAACTAAATTGATATTTTTATAAATTTTGGGACTAAAATGGCCTCCTGAAAAGAAGTCCCGGACTATTTTGACATTTTTCTCATTTTGTTACACATATTTATGTAATATTGAGAAATATTTTCAGGATATGGTTCCACCAAAGGATCCTTATATCCGAGTAAAAGTGCTTGAAGACATAGGTGAGGTTTGCATGGGTGACCATACGATCTCCCTCACTCAGCACTCCCTGCATTTTATTAAACGCACAGATTCTGAACCATTTATTTCACAGGTTTGGTGTTTAGATATAACTGTTTGATCAATGCTTGTCTTTTTATATTGTCTTTTTGATTAGTCTGCGCTTTGCTTGTGTGGTAGGGCCTGATGGAGGAGTTTCTTGAGTGAGGCTTGGCTGGAGCTCGCTGGCTGTAACGATTGGTGATTCTTTGCTGTAACAATCAGTTAAGTTTATGAGCTTGAGAAATGATAGATGAATCAATTTTCATTTTTAAGTTATATTTCATGTCCATTTTTGTTTCTGGACTAGATCATGGCTTTTTGTATTCTGGTGCTGCAAAAGTTGATTTTTTTATTTATTGTCTTTTTTTGTTTTCTTATTTTTTTGGAATATAAGCATATTTGTCCATGGTTTCCTGGTTTTGTTCATTATTTTGCAGTCATGATGGAGGAGTGATCAGTCATGAGTGGCATCACTTGTTATTAGGGGCATTTATATATTTTAGATGCATACCACTCAAAATTTTAATGTCACATCAAAGATATCACTATCACTATCTTTCTTTAAAAGTGAAGTATACTTTCTTCATGCATAAATTTAAGATGCGCCATAAGTTTAAATATCAAATTGTAGATATTAGATGTGTAAATACATAAGAATGATGTGATATGTTGGTAAAATTTTCTTATTAATATAATCTGGTCACACATTTAACTTGATGAGCTAGGAAATTAGAGGATCTGTTTTAGGAAAAAAATATTACATTCGGAGTGCGGATGTAGATTTACATCCGGACTCCAATGACATCATGAGGCGTGGAACTCTCTAATTTGTGTTCCACAAATAAAGCGCATTCTCAATTTTTTCCTATGTAATTTGGAGTCCAGTAGGACTCGAAATTGTACCGGCTTTAATTTGGGTCCAACATGTGTAATAGAAATAAGAAAATGAGGTGGCCCAATCCGACCCGAAACTAATGCGCACATTCGCTATTTACTCAAGGGGTTTTACTGCATGTGCACATTCTATTTCCTCTTAGAATTTTATGACACGATATATTTTCAAGATTTCAAGCACATACATTCTCCCTCTCTCTAGGGTTTTCTCGTGGGGGAATTCGAGCTTCTAGTTTGACTGGGACAAAGACAATCTTGCTTTGTTCTTCGGCCGGTGACATATCAAATATTGTATTTTAATTTTTTTTTTCACACGCTTCTTTCATATGTGATCCAGCCTTCTAGTATAAGCTTGGTTTACAAGTTTGATATCCCAAATATTTTGTTTATACTATCTATTAAGCTATTTTGAGCACCATTGGGGTATGAAGAGTTACAAAGAGGGTATAACCATATACAAACTGTTATTTTCCAATAGAATTTCTATGAATTTAGTGAAGATACAAAAAGGTCAAACTAAGGGCGTAAGACTATTTTTTCAAGGAAAAAGCTTTGTAATAATTTTGGTTAGTTTAAAATTTGTTATGATATTTTTTGTCTGTTTTGTTCTTCAAGTTGATGGCTTTTAATGAACCTTGATTGAATAACATGAGGGTACAAAGTGGTAAAAAGGTGGTTACAATGAGATTCAAAAAAAAAAAATTTCCCCTTTAAAACATGATGTGAAGGTCTATAAATGATCTAAATAATATCCAATAACATTTGAAACATGATTTGTTGCATATTTTGGTGTTTTGCATTGAAATTTGACTTGTGGGCTTGAGAGTACATGTACAAAAAATATGTTCCATCAAAACATCATTTCAATTTTTTTTTCCTTTAAAACATGATGTGAAGTTCTATAAATGATCTAAACAATATCCAATGACATTTGAAACATAATTTGTCACATATCTTTGAATTTTTACTTTGAAGGGTCTATATGGGGCAGCTGCAGTTTATTGATAAGCTGTTGCGCAGCAGCTGTGACAGGAAGTAAATATGGGGCAACTGCTGCGGGTTGTTTGTTTGTTTTTTACAGTTCAAAAATAGTTGTGTTGTAGCTGTTTCTGGACAAATGACCATTCTACTCATATATTGTAATATTGTTTACAATACAGAACTGTTTATAATAGCTCATCCTATACTTGAAAGTAAATATCAAGTTCGAACATTACAAAATAAAAATAGACACTTTACTAAACAGTGAATAACATGACTATCAAAATTTTAAAAAAATGGACTACTAAAATAACAATCAATAATATGATAATATTATTTTTAAAATGCAGTTATTGTAGGTCACGAGATAAAACGTCATTCAGGGAAACTCTTTACGTCTGATCACTCTTGGCGGTGAAATCCTTTAACCCATCTTCTCACTTAAGAAGTAACAATTCTTTGTTCTTCTTCTTGGACATTTGTAAAACTGTTTCTCGTAGCTATGTAGTTGCCGCAAAGTAAGCATGAAACATTGTAGTCCGCAGCAGCAGTGCAATCCTCTGGAGGTACCAGAAATCTTTGAGCTCATCTTTCTTAAAGGCTTTAAAACAAATATTGTTAGATAACACTAGTAAAAATTAATAATAGAAATAATTAATTAAAGTTTTATGCGGCAACGAGCTCTCAGAGAGCTCAATATACCAACAAATCTATCACTACAAGAAGACAACAAACCTTATAAAAAGGGGTTCTTGGTTGCCTTTAACCTGCATAATACTGAGTTTGTGTGTCACATGTGCATATCACAAAAAAAAAAGATATCTCAAAAGGCATAACACTGAAAAAGGAGAGGAACTTGGTTGTCTTCATCAAGATTTTAGATATGACACCAATCAATAGTGACATACATGTCATCCAGAAGAACTCACAAGGTCAAACATCTCATAATTAATCTTCCAAAACCCACAAAAAAACATGTAATATTTATGATGCATATATTACCCATGATTGCCTCATCGACCATCCAAGCGGGAGAACAATACATGCAAAAGGAAAAGAAATACATATTACTTGCATAAAAAACTAATACAATAAATATCAAATGTGTCTGTTTAAAATATAGATACAATAAACAGTGAATGTTTTCAACAATCATTATAATAAAAAGTAATAAAAAACTAGTGTTCCTTCCAATCAACCTCCAACTATTACATCTGTAATTCGTTCCCTCGACTCTTTCATCTCTCTTGCACCTTCTCCATCTTGAGTGCGGGTCTCAGGCAAAATCATTTTCGGTCAATGAAAAAGACTGTACAATACGATATTCATATGCCTCAGAAAGGACATGTAAATGATCCTCATCCGCCCTACAAAAATCAATGTCGTTGCGGGAAGGATGCTACCAAATAGAGTTGTGGAGAATCATCGTGACAATCACAATCTGCATCTGTTTGAGAAACAGATAAGTTGGCATAACATGATTTCTATTCGGGCCTAATCAGGTCTCATGTTGCATTTGTATGCATTTTTATAAGGTGTGTGACCTGAATTTAAAATATGCATTAAAAACCATATGTTTTTGCATGCTTCTTCGATCGGTCGCCCACACCGGCCTGATCGACGATCGTCAGTCTACTCAATTGATCGTTTGCCACCGGTTTAATCGTATCGTATGAACATTTTTCGTCAATCGCCCGTACACTGAACACAATTGACCACCTTTGGTTCATTCGACCAATCGGCGTTGCCACGGGCTTGATCGTATTGATCGACCATCCTCCACCCTTTGGTCGCTCACGTCGACCCGATCAATCACCCTCATCTGCTTGACCCTTTGGCCACCACTGGTCTGATCGTATTGATTGACCATCCCTCGTCGATCGATCGCCCACGTTGGGTCGATCAATTACCTTTGACCCTTCATCAGTCGGTAACACACTCCAGACATAATCGATTGGTTGTTCACTTCCATTTTGTATGTTGCATTTGTGCATGTTTTCTTCACATTGCCCGCATTAGCACATCCACACTTGCACCCTTTAGTGCATTTGCGAGCATATGCCCTCATGCCTCTTAGCAACACATTACTCTACACCTTTTGCCCCTCAACACCCCTATGTCGCGGTTTACCACCTCTTATATGTTTGTATATACACTTATGCACTCCTACATGATTGTTTCCTATGACATTCCATATATTGCATTGCTCGCATGTTTGAGCTTGTTTGAGTCACTGCTCCTTGCATAGTTATTTTGCATTTCCATGTGCACTCCCGGTTTTCTTGACAACTGACTTGCCTCATTAGATGAGTGAGCCTCTGTTGGTTACGACGGAGTAGCAAGTATTGCCCATGAGGATGCCTCGGTGAGGCAATATTAGCTACCACGCCGTGATTAAAAATGGTCTAATAGGTGCGACTTAGGTTTTTCCTTTCTTAGAACCTAATTTCGAAAGTATAATATATATATATATATATATA